GGGCTGGGGCAGGGGCTGGCCTCTCCCTCATTTACTTTCTGTCTGGGAGCAGAAGTGATGGAGAGCAGAAATTCCTCACTGCTCTCCCTGCTGGCACCTTGTTGCTCCTGGAGCACCTCAAGCTGCAGCATCAAGCAGGGACAGCCCTGGGGGTAGAGGGAAGCTGGCAGCTCCCATGGAATTAACTGGGAAACTGAAAACCTTGCAAGGGGGTTTCAGTTCAACAGGTTCAGCTGTTTTTTCCCTGCACCAAGCCTATCTGTCTTTATGTTTCTGTTTAACTTTTTGCTTAAGCCTCCATGCTTACCTCTGTACAGCAGCTAACTCAACATCAGCCCTAAGCACCTGCCTGATTTGCTCCCCAAACCAAACACCTTCCAAGAACAAGGGAAAACACAGGAACTGGCATGTCAGTGGCTTCCATAAACCATCAGAGTCTAACAGGGCATTGTAAATACACTGTTGTCACTCAAAAGCTGGAACAGCATTCTCCAGGCTTCTCCAAAGCTTGGTTTCTAGGTGAAGGTGATACATCCTCAACTGAAAGTCACCTCTGGGGACACCAGTTTCCTCAAGTTTGGGAAGTGAATAGTGAGGTCAACAGTGCAACCCCAGCAGCACGCTGGACAGGGTAGATGGAATCACTGACACTGTCCAGCTCCAAAAATGCTCTGAGGTACCTGGGCAGTGTGTGGACGTGTCTGAGCACATCAGCACACACCAAACACAGGGACCTTGTGACAGGATTCTGACCAGACAGACTGTCCATGACCACAACTGTCATAAAAATGTGCAGTTCAGCTAAGAAACAAGCAGAATTACTGTATGAAAGAGGTTATCTACACGTGAACTGATAAACCTCCAGCTTGCAAAGCCTGGTAAAATGATAAAAGGATAGCACTGTAAAAGTAACAACAGATTATGGACCTGTAGCAGTATTCCACAAAATGGTACCATATAAATTGGGTTTAATTAAGGTGTGGGAACAGCAACCCCGACAGACAAAGCAATCTTAAAGTTTGCAGTGCAAGATTGGTTTATAAAGGAATATTCCACATAGGTGTGGGACAGGACAAGGCAGCCAGACTTGTTCCAACAGGGATCCAAATGGTTGCCATGGAAAGTATGACTGCAGAGAGCTCAAATGCTCTCAAAGCTCCTATTTTCAGTGGTTAGCATTTGCAAATAAAACCGAAAAAAAAAAAGCTGTGCCTCAGAGCAGCAGCTCCCAGGGTCTGCCATAGGCTCTCCTCTTCCTCCATAAACACAAACACATGCCATTATTCATAGCTTCCACAGGTACACTGCAGTTTTTAAAGTCTGCCTGGCTGGAGGAGATACAGCCCATCAATGGAGGGATGCACGTAAAACATCCCTGATTACCAAACCATGTCACATTCCTTCTATTCGATGGCACTTATTGGACTGCGGATTCCATAATCCTTCCCTGAGTCCCTTCTGCATTTAATTCAGTTCAGTCTTAAGTAGTTAAAGAAACTGTTTTCAGTGGCAACTAATAACTACTGACCTACAGTGACACTGCCCTACAATAGGCTTGTCAGGCCTGAAAAACTTGTACCAAAGAAGCTGATTAGGACTTCAAGAGGTTTGTAGCAAGAATCAATGGCTAGTCTGTACTAATGCTGCGGCTGCGGCACAGACATGATAAAAGTGGAACACCATTAGTTATGCCTCATTAAGCTCCACAGCCCTCCTAAAAAGAAATTTGTTTAGCCTGTCCAAAATCTAATGCAGTTTTAAGCTCTCTGTGTTCAATTTCATAGTATCTCAAAAGCTTCAATAAGATAAAGGCCAAAGAACCAAGAACGGTACCAAAGCACCAACAGTAAAGTTAATTTTGAAGTCTGAGTTTTAATGGAAAGTATTTTTGCCTTCCTTTTATTTTAATACAAAGTACTCGAGCCTCTTAGAGGATGAACACCACGTAGTGCACTCACTAAATATAAATAAATCATGGACATTAATTAACTTTAAAAACCCTGCTGTACAGCGTGATTTCAACAAATTTAAACAACAAAGTTCAAAACAGGGGAAAAAGAAAAACCCTCCAGTTGTGCAGCCTGGCAGCACCAGGTGCATCCTCCCAGCCACATTTCACCCAGCATCAGCCCCTCCTGCCTTACCTCTGTGGGGTTTGTTGAAACAATGGTGTAGGACCTCGCCAAGACTCCTGGGGTCTGAGATCTAGAGGGTAAAACAACATGTTAAAATTTAAGAGGAGCCAAAAGACCCCTGCTCCCCTCACTCTGACATGTGCCCAACAACTTGTCAAAACAAGTCCAGCAGAAAAGCTCAAGCTGGATATACCACCAAATCCATTTATGTAAGTTGTGGGTTGCTGTGGCTGATTTGATAGAGCCCTTATCTCCATCAGTGGCAATCCCAGGATTAATTAATAAAAGGCAACTTAAAAAAAAAGTCCAAGGAAAAAAGTCCAAAAAAAGGAGGAGGAATTTTGTTAGAACTAGCACAGGCTAGTGCTTGGACACTACATGGATATCTTCTCCTGAGATTTTATAAACGCAGAACCATGTCTGTTTCTGTAACAACTGAAAACTTCATTTAACATTTACATTTCTTACAAGTAGGTTCATCCCTGCACTGTTACAGACACACCCCCACACACCCCTCTGTGCCTCATCACAGTGCATCATGCCTGAGAGCAACAGCTCTCAGTCAGCACCCAAAGTATGTGCCAGTTACCCTCTGATGAGGCCAAGTTATTCTACTAAGAAAACTAAAAGAATGGCCAGAGCACTTAGAGTGAAAAGTTCCACATCCTCCATGGTTATATATATATAAGTTACATTTACAATTTTTTTAAAGAGAGTAAAAAGGTATTTAAAAATTAACAGACTGTAATAATATAATAAAATCAATGAATGATCTCTCAAATAATGTGATCAGACCGAATTCAACCCTTTTGGGTAAGAACTTGGGCAGAGAGCTAGGGCTGCAGTTCTGAGGAGTCGCAGTGAGGAGGACCACCCACTTCTCAATTGTTTCTTCTACCCAAATTGTCTCTTCACAAAGACGTAGCAGTGACAACATTGCTGCAGCAGGACACGCAATTAAACGCTTGTTGTTCTTCTAAATAAACTGGTCAGTAAACAGGATAAAAGGAGGAGCTCATCAATAGCTCCCAGCCAGGCCACAACACTCAAATTGTGCATCAATCAAAAGCTTCAGTTTCAGTGACACCTCTGATTCTTCTCAATGGTGTTTAAGTGGGAGCTAATTCCAACAGCTGGTTCCAGCAGTTGTCCAAGGGACGTGCAGGGATGGGGCAGCAGCCCCTCTTAAACTGCCAACATCCAAGTACACCAAAGGCTTGCAACAGTTTGAGAGGAAAAAGGAAAAATACCACAGCCAGAGGGAAAGTCTGTGCCTGTCTCTAACTCCAGACTGTCAGCAGGCTGTAATGGTCTGAAGCCTGAGGGCAGCCCTCGAGTGCCCAGGGGAGGCTGTGGGCAGCCCCCACTGAGGAGAGCACCCCTTTGTCAGGGGAAATAAGTTCTGACCCCCAGCAGCTCCCAGCCAGGCCTCCCTGGGCAGGGCTGACCCAGCAGCAGCCCAAGCTGCAGAGGGGACACCTGCATTTTATCTGTATTCAGCACTGCATTAAACACACACAAACAGCCAATATACACTCTTCTCCTCCTGTGCACACACACAGACAGACACACAGACAGACAGACAAGACACACACACCGTTGCCAGCTGATGCTCATAACCCACAACACCTGGTTATTGCACACACACCATCTCCAACCCAGTCCAAAGCACCCCAAGGACTCAAGGTGGCTATGTGGCACCTTCCTACCCTGTGAATGACAAGGACTTTCACTGCCCCAGACACGCCGTGCTAAGGTGATGCTTTAGGGATGCTGTGTTTGCTTTTGAACACAAGCTCAGTGCAAAGTGATTAAAACCAGGCCCAGGATGCTGTCTGTCTTCAGCCCCTCTGGGGGAACAGAGCAAATCAGGCACAACATTAAACCGAAGCTTGAAAAGAATTACAAAGGTGGAATTGCTAAAGCAATCAAGCAAAAAAGGTAAAGCCCCAAAGTGTCAGTTATTTTCAGTTAAAAATATCCTAAAACTTTGTTTCTAATAATTCTGAACTCTCACAGACACCAGCACCACAGGAACACGTTCAGCACTGAACTGCACTCTGCTAAACACATCTTCAGATGCACAGAACCCCTGCAGCTGCCAGGATGAGTGCTGGGGTTTGGCTCTGTCCCCACTGCCAGCCCTGCAGGTCTCCTCAGCCTGGCTCACTCCTCCTCCTGCTTGCTGGGAGACAGGCTTCCAGAAAAAAGTCCCCCCACTCCTCCCTGTGCAGGCTGAGCCAGGCAGGACCCCCAAGGATCAGGACAGTGACACAGGCTAGTAGTCTCACCCTCCCTGACCAGAGCTTCACATTTTAATTGAGGTTTATGATCACACTTTCCATTCCACTGTGGGGTCAGATGGTGCTCTAGTGAGAAGCCCAGTGGGAGGATGCTGGTCTCACTCTGGCACAGCATTCCCACTCCTGCAGACCCCTGCTTAAGGGTTAGCTGAAAACCTGTGTCCTATTTAATCACTTTCTTTCCAGCTGGAGAAGAAAGGACCCAGCTCTCCTGCTGTAACCACATCCCTGTGCAGCTCTAGGGAACAGTTTATGAAAGAGTTTAATGAAATCATCATAAAAACGTTTAAAGCCACCTTATTACTATTCATTTGTATGACTCTGACAGAGAACAATCTTTGAAGGGAAAAAGCTTGGAGCAGCAAATTGCACTTCAAAAACGTACAAAATTGGAGAAGAAATAACAATTAATATTTTCTTTAGTCTTCAAAACTCAGGCATTTCCCAGAGCTATAAGGCCAAACAAACTGCCTTCTCTAGCAGCTCCTCAAGTAACAATTTATCTAATCAGCGTGGCAATCAAAGACAAGATTTTATGTTTACTGATTGCACTAATCAAAATCACTTTTCAAATGCAGCTAATTGACAAGTTTACTGACTGAAATGAAAGTCACAAATCAGATATCCTGTGCTGTGGAAACCCAATATGCCTTCCACAGAGCACTGCCACACTGCACTTGACTCCCCAAGTTATCAGCATAGACAATTATTCATCAGCTGAAAATTGGCACATCAAAGTCAAATCAGAGAACAACAGTAAGGAACACCCACAGCAGGCTCTTGAGGGAGAGATGGCACTTTGGCTGACCGCATTGCCCTTCTAGAGTCTAATTTTACTTCATCATACATATAGAAACATAATGCTTGGAATGAGAAGTTGCTCTGCATCAGCCCTGTGAGATGCAGGGATTTTAACCACATCAGCTCTAGGTTTTCAGGAACGTGTGGGTACCAGACGCTTCCCAACCCAGTTATGCCACAACATGCAGCCATTCTCTCACAATTAAACAGTGATCTTGACACACGAGGTAACCTGCTCCACTAAGACAACTCAGCATGCACTTTCCAGCTTGATTTTCCAGCTGAAGGCTAGAGAGGAAACCAGGCTGTCCCTGCAGCCTGTTGCTGTTCAGCAAGATGACCCCCTATTGCAGGGAGGTTCAGAGAGATGATCCCACCTTGACAGGTTTGCTTCACACCCAGCCCACACAACCCGGGATGTGTTGCCATGTCTGGGTGTGTCCCATCTGCAAAAGCATCCCTCAGCATGAATGCCATGAAGACTGATTTCAGCAGAAATTTTGGGCCGTGACACTTGGAGGTATTTTCCCAATGTGCAGGGGTTTAACCCTTCTACCAGGGTCTCTGCCTGGTAAAACAGGAGTGAGGGCACATGTTGCCACTTGGCATCGATCCAGTCAGCCACCACTGTGGTTAGCTGTGAAGGCTTCACACTGCAGTCACTTTAAATCAGAAGTTAATTAGAGTTTAAGACCAATCTCCCAGGGCAGCTCGGTATCTTTAGTAGAAGTGGAGGAGGAACACAACAAAATCAACTGACAAAGAAGACATCTGCAGCATGTTGCACTGTGGTCTCCCACAAACAAGTGCCAGGAAGCAGCTTCTCGACTGCGGGATGAAGAGCCCTGGAGAGCCATGGATGGCAGGCACACAACCCCTGCTCTGTCAAAAAGCTTTTGAAAATAAAATAAAATTTAAAAAAAAAAAGCTTGGATTTGCCAGGCACACCTGCAGAACAGCAACTGGGGAGGTCCAAGGCAACCCGAGGGTGAGGAAGGGGCAGGAGACGAGGGGAGGAGGGGACATGTGGAAGAAAGCCACCAGACAGTTCTTGTGAGGCCAACAGATGGGATTTCACATCCATCAGTGGATTCAAGCCTCCTCAATTTGAAAGAACGATGGCATTGGGGCATATTTGCATGTGGAGTGCTTCCTATACAACACAAGGTGCTCAGATGCCACGAGGATGAGAGCTTTCTAAGTACCTAATTGGCAAGATCAGTCCCATGTACATGAGGCAGAGAAAACTGCTTTGAAATAAGTATTTCACACAAAGAGTCAAGACTCCAGCTTCAGAAGACATGAACAGCAGTGTGGAGACTGATGGGCTCACCAACACTCTCTCTCTCCCCAAAACCACACAGATTTTTTTCTTTTTGGGCATTAACACAAAAATGTGATGCCTGCCTGGTCGTCCTGCCTTCCCATTCTCCACACTCTCCTCTTCAGAACATATTTTCTCTTTGCTTAAAAAACCCACTTGTTCTCCTTGAATCAAAACATGCCCTTGTATTCAATCCACCTCTCCACTTAAACCAAGTGATGCCTCACAAAAGAAAGCTGCTGCACCCACTACTCACCTACACACCATCTACCCTGGGACTAGCCATCAAGCTTCATGCAGAGTAGCCATCAGTATTATTTCTTTGCTGTTTCCTACACAGCACAAATACAAGTACAAAAGGGCTGAGAGCTTTGCTAGGCACTGATCTGCTCTGCTGTGTGACAAGGCACTGGAGTCCAAATGCCACCTGTGTCAGCAGCTTGAACTTCAAACACTGGCATAATTCAGCATCACAAGAATTCATCTGACCAGTGAGAACTTCTTACTTTAAAGCACCTTTTTAGGCAGCTTAGCCAAGTTTCCTCCTGTCTCACTCCCACCACTACAGAAATGCAGCTCCTGATCACAGGCTGAGGGACAGGACTCTGAGCCAGCACCCTTCCTGGGAGCCCTCTGCACAACCAATTCCTTCCCAGGGTGAAGAACTCCACTTCAGGCCACAGGATTTCTTGCCACTTCCAGTGACCTACCTGTTCACCAAGCCAACAGCAGCAGTGCCCTCGACCTCCTGACCACCTCCTACCATATCTCTGCCAGGGGCTGCAACACAGACATGGGCAGGAGAAGGTTCTGGCCCAGCCTGGCCTCTCAGTACCATCTGCAGCTCTTCTGGCAGTCCTACAACCTCTCTTGACCTGCCACTATGCCTTGTGCACTGATGATTTTCTGTGGCCAGCACCATCCTCCTGTTCTCTTCAGAAAGAAGGCACCAAGTTTCTGCTGAGTCTGCTGTTCTGGTGCTGTTGGGCTTCAGCCACAGACTGTGTTCTGGATAACAGAGAGCAGGAACCCTTAGCAGACAAGGTGCTATTTTTCCTACTGCATCTGAATCCTGGGTGCAATATTCCAAATGGGATCCCACTCACAGGCACCTGGTTACACCTCAGCACCTGTCACTACAGCAGCTCCATACAGGAAGGAACAGAGGAGAGCAGCACCAAGTTAGCAGAGGCAGATGCCCCAATCCCCCCCAGTGCAACAGACCAGAACAAATGGGAACACTTTCCAGCTCTGAAATGCAGGAGGCAGAATCCACTTACTTGACAGGAGCTTTGGGATCTGCTGCTGGCTGCCCAGCAGGGGCCTGGCGTAGGGGCTGGCGTAGGCGCCCAGGGGCACGGCGTTGGGGTACATCCCTGGCATCCCCCTCTCCCTTGGCATCGTGTGGCTGCCACGTGCAGGAAACAGAAAGGAAAAACAACGGGGAGTTGGTAGGAAGGCACAAGTGACCTCTACAGAGATAGCTCAGTATCTGCTGGGCCTTCTCCTGCACACAGCTACACTCAGGACTCCGAGGCATGTGGTGTCTGCCACCCCATTTAATGAGACATCATATCATCAATAGCAGCTATAATATATATTTTTTTATAACTAACTTGCAAGAACAGAAGAGGGCTCACAAGTGCAGCACTGGAACAATTATGATTTCCACCACATGAATGGAGGGAAGGGTGTTTTTATTTCTGCCAGAGCTGCAAGATGAAGAAGAAAGTATAATCCCTCCCTAAAGGGACACTTGTGTTTATTTGAGTTTACTTTTATTTGCTAATAATACAATCTCCTTTAAAACCTTCTCTTTTCTGGCCCTGATAAACATTTCATTTTGTCTGTGACACATAACCCCAGCTCATTCTCCCACCCTGTGCTCAGAAGCACTCTCACACTACACTGCAGAAAGTTCCTTGGACTTTCAGGGGACTAATAAAACCTGGCAATGCCCTGAAAAATGACAACCAAACTGACTGCATGGTGTAAAGAACGTGCTTCAAAACAAGGGATTTTAAGCCCCATTTTTAAAAGCATAAAAGACATTCTTGTATTAATATTCTTAATTATCCCTTGTGTGCAGTACTCTCATTGCACCTCCTGTACCTCAAGCGAGTATCCCCCAAACAAGCTGAAAAACCCCACAAGATATTTACATAGAAATATTTAGCAGAAAAAATAACAAGCCCAAAATCAAGAATGCAAAACATTACAGCAAAATCATGGCCACAGCTTTCATCAATACTCAGTTTCAGTATCCTGTGCCAAGCTTTCCAGCACAGACCACCAGCATCTCACCTCTGACAGCCCATCCCCACCCTCTGTCTCTTTTTTTCAATTCAGAAAGCACGAAGGAAGAGCTGTGCCCTCAGGCAGGCAGTGGGCAGCAGTGCCCCCAGGCTCACCCCAGAGTCCTGAAGGCTGACTGGTCCAAGTGGACGGGTTTCCTGTCTCGGTTAAATCCCAGCTGTGGCCTCCACGGCCTCCCATCGTTGTTGGTTTTCTCCCAGTCTCCTGGCTTCAGAACTGGAGCTGGTTTCCTTAATATTAAAAATATTTCCATGAATACTTATCAGAGCAAACACCTTAATGAAAGAAAATGGAATTATCTGAAAGCCAGCGACTGGTACTTACTTTGCACCAGGTAGCACTACAGCCTTGAAAACAAAGTCTTCAGCAAACTGTGGGTCTTTGAAAGAGATACTAGGAGAAAGTATTTGAGGATTAGGTTCACTTGATAATTAAGACAAGCCAGATTAAAAAGTAATTGCTGCTTTATTAACACACAGAAGATTCAGAAACCCCTGACAAAGTGCATTCCTTGCACGTAGATGTAGTGACTCCATCAGACTTGGATGTCTCCATTTTCCACAGTGTGACCCTGTTCCTCCCCTGTACAGCAGCCAGTTAAAAGAAAGTTTAATGTCTAGAAAACAGACTAAGTATGGTAATGAAAGTATCTTCTGCAGACCCTCGAGTACAAATCCTCTAGTCAAAGCATTGATTGTACTTGATTAAGTTCAAAGGCTGCCACAGCACAGCCAGGAGGGATCTCAGCTTGCCATGCAGTCTAGTCAAAAGTGTACAGCACTCAGGAGGGGGATTTTCTGGGCCAGGGAGTTTTTATCCCAAAAGCTGGCTGTGCAGTTCCCGTGGAGGGACATACACCCATTTTCAGTGACATCTCCCAGATCCTGCATTTTGAGCTTTCCACTGTTAGACAAAGTAGGAAGTGCTAGAGCAGGGAGTGGCTGAAAGCTCAGTTTCTGCTGGCACGATGTGTTGTACAGCAGCTTGGGTTTGCTCTAAAACCCACCCAGGCTCCTTAGCAATTCCCATCTCCCAGTGTAAGCATCCAGGTCTCAGGGAGGTCTGACCAGGGACATGTCTGAAGTCCATGGCACTGACTGGCTTTCTGCTCCCTCACTGCCTACCATCTGATAGAGAGGGATGCCAAGAAAGACAAAACCAAACGGCTCAGCAGAATAATCTCACTCTTCCAGCTGCAATACATCTGTTTTTCAGCCCAGAGAATGAATGAGGCTTGAAGGAAGGAGAATAACGGTCCCTCAGAAAAACTAGCCAAAGCCACAAGAACTGGAGAGCAGAATCATGACTGCTCATACTGCCTCAAAGGACAGGAGGAAAAATCCTTGCAAGAGAGAAAGGGACAGAAGTGTAAAACAATTCAAACTTCCTGGCAGTGGCAGATGGAAAGCCAAAAACTACCTTTAACCCATCACTCAGAGTAACTAAATCCCCATTTCAGAACATCCTTTCTCCAATATCCTGACAAGCCACAGCTTGGCATTTCTTACTGCCTGTAGACAGTTGTTCTAGCTGAACCAAGCCATGCCTGGCTCCAGCACTACACACCTATCATGCTGTGCCAAATTAAGTGGGAATGACATACAACACACTAGAAAGACAGAAACTTCCTGTCAAGTGCAAAAGTCATTAAAATCTGTGACCACAAGATTTACTCTATGAAACTCACTGCTTTTTACTCATTATGAAGCTTCTTATTATTCTCCCAAACATCACATTCAAGCAAAGTTAGTATTACTCCTTTACTCCTTAAAGGCATGAAGTTAACATTCTCAGGCATCACTTGGGAATTGCTAAGGATAAAAAAAAATGGATAAAACCCCAAGAAATAACAATCCACAGCTGGAGAGCTTGCAATCAATACCCAATTCTGGCTTTGGAGGCTTGCTCTCAAGAATGTTTGGCTTTAAGAGGCCTGATACAGACTACCAAGTTCTGTAGGTGTTGCTCTTTGCTTGCCAAAGACCCAGAGGTCCCAGTGGAGAGTGAGCAGAAAAGCAGCAGCAGGGAAGAGGTATTTCTGGAGGGATGAAGCATGCTGAGCTATGAGCATTTTGGCCACCCCTGCAGGGCACACCACCACCAGCCACCCTAACCCAAGTAACTGCTGGACTGTGCTGTCTCTTGGATTCACTTCTCACAGAAACACAGGAGTGCCTAAAGCAAGAGCTTCAATTTGATTAAGAGATGGATTCTATTGCAAATTCAACACCACAAACCATCAGAATAAAACCAGTGTTGATTGCTGCATTTCACAAGCCACCACATTAAACCCCAGAGTTTATTTACCTGACTGCAGAATTTTGGATGAGGTCACGCAGCATTGGAACAGGAGACTCCACTGCCCTGGGAAAGAGAAAAAACTGTCAGAATGTCACACAATGCATTTCTCACCATTTGCTCCACTTTCTCTGATGCTACCACTCCTGTTCCTCTGACAGCTGCACCTGTGACACATAAAAGGGATTTCAAAATTCACTTGCCTTTCCCCTAAATCAAATACCTCTGTAAAAATGGAATTGCCAAATCCTTATTTCTTACAGCCAGCACTTTTGCAGCTGATCTGTGTGGGCTCCCTGGTGTCTAACTGTGGGTTGTTCAGACACATCCCACTACCCAACAGACTGTTTATAAACCTGAGTATTATTCTGAACCTTGGAAACCTCCCTGTACTGCCAGGGTTTGATTCTAAGAGGTTCTAAGAGGGCAGGAGAACACCAGGGACAGACACACACACAGACACCATGATTTGTAAAACCTCCTTCATTAGGAAGAAAAATCTGTTTGTATACACATATATAAAAAAAAAAAAATTGTAGCAGGTGATTTCCACAGCACTTGAAGAATCTCTTTCCTAATGGAGATTTAATAGGCTGGCATCAAGTTGCATCTTAAGCCTTCCCTGTTCCCTCCAGAAAACTTTAACTCAAGCAGATGAGCCCCAGACTGGACAAAGTGGCTCTTATTGATCAGAAACCACATTTCTTGGTCTTCCCTGCTGCATGCAGCTGTCACAGACCCATGTTACACACCCAGGTCACTGACTGTACACGTGCTGCCTGGGTTTGTTCCAAATCTTTTTAGCCAAGTCAGAATTATTTTAAGTGGCAATATAAGCCCACGGAATTCCTAGCAAACTGCTCCAGGTAAGAAAACCACCATTTCTTAGGGCCTGTGCAGGGAAGATGCCAGCAGAGTTTTCTCTTCCTGCCCTGCTGTTCCCTCCAAGAAGAGCTCTGCCAGCTCCTGCTCCTCAGAAGCCCTGACAGGAACAGAGAGGAGTGCATTAGTGAGTGTGACCAGGGTATGTCATCTGCCCCACGGACCCACTGCCTGTGCACTTCATGCAGATCAGCTCCTCAACACCTGCTCAGGCTCTAAGCAAAGTCAGACAAATGAATGCAACACAATGTGAAGATTGCAATGATAACTTCTCAAACTAAATGCATTATCTAGAAAACAAAAAATATTAGCATTTTTTTGTATGTGTAGCTGGTAATAGTCTTGAATTTAGTGCTGTAGCCTAAATGGAAAATAGTAAAATGTATCTAATGTATCTCTGTGTTGTTCTTTAACGTGGTCAAGATCAGCATACACAAAGCAGAGTTGTTGGGATGGTTTTTTAAATAGCATGTACCACTGCAAGTTACATCAGACTGCATTAAATTAACATTCATACAAAAGCAAAGAGGCCAAAACAAAACAACCTTACTGAATGAGGCCACTGATTACTACTGCTTGGATTATCACAGGGTCTGTTTACCTATTAAAGTTTAAGTTGAAACACTACTGAATATGTAAAAATCAGTCTTCCACAGATGAAATGACAAATAACAAAAAGAATTCATCAGCAGCTAAACACACATTAGAGTGCTTCAAATACTTCTGATGCTGCTTTAGAAGCCTAGCTCTGAAATAAAGAAATAGGACTGTGGAATGACAGTTTTACTTGCCTGGCTTTCACACATGCTGATAACAACACACACCTACTATGAACCCTCATGGAAAACTGGCTTAGCCTCAGCACCACCTGGTCAGGAGTTTTAGGCTTCTTGTTGTGGGCAGAAAGATATTTTTATTTAAAGGCTGGTTATAAGTGAAGAGAATGTCCTTTAGCACCAAAGGTGCCCCACTCACTGGTCTGGAAGAACAGCGTTGTCATTCAGCGTCAGCTTGCCCTGGATCCCGTGGCACAGCTCAGGGGGCATGTCCACTGGCTGAGGAGAAAACAGTTTTCCAGCTGAAGCACCTCTTTAGACCTCCATCCTCACCATTTACACAGTCCCTCAAGAACAAGCACAACCCACCTCTGTGTTTTTGGTCTTGTACTGTTCTACAATGAAGTCACAGAGGGGATGGTGTTTTCCAACAAAGAGAACATCACCACCAAGGCTGTTCCTTCTGCCTAGAAAAGATGAAGAGAATGGGCTGAGAGTTCAGAGCAGAGAGGGAAGGAAGGAAGGAAGGAAGGACTACAGCAGACCAGCACGCTCGCCTGTTGTCACCTCTACCAAAGGAAGGCTCCACCTAAATCCACTTTTGTGATTTAGGAGAAAGCTGTGAATGTTCCTGGAGAGCATTGGAAAGACAGCATCTCTGTGCAGAACAGGTTGTCTCTGCTCACAGGAGTAGTTGGAAGGCAGTAAAACAACAGAAATCTTGTGTTCAGTGGGAGGAATGTTGAATTTAGAATGGAGGAATGTTGAAGATACAGACAGGCTGGGTAAAAATACCCAACCAGAACAACAAGCCAACCCCCCCACCTCACCAGCAGTTTACCTATAAGAACCAGTGATTATTTTTCTACAAGAGAGAAAACAGCACACACATTTGCCTACAGGAACTGAGCATGAAGCTCCACGTATTGCAGCTGGACCCAGACAGGTCAGAACACACAACACACCTCATGTCTTATCACCAGCTCCAACCCTGGGAGCAGTTCATTCTGTAATGCCTAACGAGTACTCTGGCAGTGTGTACTGGTAGAATCCTTTCAGAGGAGTAAGCTGCCATCTAATTTTCAGGTTAAGTTCTATGCTTTTCTACTTGAGTAAAGAAAAATAAGTGAAAGCTATGAAACCAAACCCATCAAGGACCACCCTGACTACCAGCACTATCCATGAAGAAGAATCTGCAGTCTGCCATAGTGCAATCCAACCAAACACTGATTGTACCTTGCTTATTTGGGGGGTGAAAAACAGTAGTAATAACAAGTTGTACCAAGACACCACAATTCTTACTTTCTTCAGGAGTGAGGTCAGGGTAGACTTCTTCCAGGGCAGCTCTGAGGCGTCGCTCATCAACAAATGGCAGTAATGCAACACCTAGTGAAGCAAAGACATTATGGAAAGCTCCAATAAAGTTCTTTACCCAAGAAACTGCTGTTGCCTTAGTCACAGAAAAGAAAACCCTAAGTTTTCAGAAGCTCCTCAGTTCTGGGAAGCAGTAACCTCTACCCACACCTGCCTCATCTGGGAACAAGGTGAGCTCAGTCAGTCATCATTTGTCTCCTTTCCTACAGGTACTCCCCTGACACAACTCAATATTACTTTATTCAAATTAATTTAATGAAGAGACAACCATGGAAGAAATCACTCCAAGTTCAGCAATGAGGATATTCTCCAGAACTCTCCATTATCCTAATGGAGACATTCTCCATTAGGGACTATTCATACCAACTGAGGCTCCTCTCAGTACCAAAATCCCTCACCAAGCAGCACACCTCAGAGCCCACTCAGTCCTACTGGGTGAAGCCTTTCCCTGGTATGCTCCAGTAGATATTTTCTGCTATTACAAAGTCCAAAAAATCACTGAGAAATTTACTACAAAAATTATTCTGCCACTCTTCTTATCAGTTGAAATCTGGAGTAATTATTTTAGTTTTAACTTTATTTCACTTACCACAACCACCAGAGCTTTCCCTGGCCAAGATGACTGCAAAGCCTTTCCACTACACTGGTATTTGGGGTTCTGTATTAGTGTCTACACCACTCCTGGTTTTTCATCATTCTAGGTACAACATTCACTGAGACTTTGAACTTCCACAGACTTAGGTTCCTGATCCAAGACTTGATCTGCCTGAAATGCTTTTGCTTCAGAAGTCAGATCTTTACTCAGCTTTATTAGAACAAATACTACTTTCCTGGAGCTGAAAGAAAGGGCATAACTTAAAACTTTACCCAAAGTGTCATTACACCAGAAGCTTATACTCCCTCCTAATAAAAGCAGTTAGGAAAAAAAATCATAAGCTTCTGACATATCAAACACTTTATACAACTGTATCAGAATTTTATGGAGTCTGCTGTACAACACCAAGGCCCAGAGCTGCACAGCCTGCTGCTGCCAACCACACTGAACAGGAACTCTGCACTGGCCCCACTCACAAAGTGTGAGGGTGATCTTCACACTCCATCAAAGGCAGCACCAGACCTCAGCCACGTTCAGATTTCAGCTGCAACGTTACTACTTGTGCAGGGAAACTCTGTGATTAGCCTACCCTGGAGAACAAACAATTTATTTTCACCTTCACAACAGACTGGTGGAATGACAAGAGGACAGGAAACGTTCATGACCCAGGAGATTGCAAGAAAGATCAATGCTGAGCATTCAGAAGCACGGTCACCTCCCCAAGAGGAAGATCTTCAAGCAGCTCCCTGAGAGGACAAGGTATACTAGATGTTTTTTAACTAAGACAGTCTGAACTTCCAGCTTGAAAAACATTTCTTGTTTCACAAGTGCCTCTTAGACACGAGAATTCCAGATGTTGATTCAGAACAAAAAGTTTATAATGCAATTAGGCATTAAATGAATCAAAAGTAACATTACAGGCTGCTGAAAGCACATGGGAGCTACTTAAAACTGTACTGCTTCAGACTGTGGATTGGCTAACTGGACAGAAGGACTAAAGGAAATTGCCAGAAGTACAACAGGGGTAAGAAAGGGCTTTGAGTTGCTGAGGGAGAACCTGCTGCACAACACTCCTCCGAACACCTAGAACACTCCTTTTGATCTGGAGCTCTCCCAAGTAAGATACTCCTGTGTCTAACTGTGGCTATTTCAAAACACACATCAGCTGCCTTGGGGAAGAATCACAGAACCACTGATGTCAGCAGGACCCCCCAGGTACCATCCAAAGCCCATCCCTTCTGCTCCAGCATGGCACTGGGCTGCTCACCTTGCCCTGGACCATGTCCAGCTAGGTTTTGAAGATCTTCAAGGATGGAGACTCCACAGCACCTCTGGGCAACACGTTCCAGTGTCTGACCACCCTCAGAGTAAGAGTCTGCTTTCTTATGCTCAGGTGAATTTAGTGTCTCTCATTGTGTGCCCAAATAATTATTTATACCTATAAATAGAATGCTACAGTACTGGCTGAATAGTGTAACCAGCCACTAAACTTGGCAGACCTCTGAAATTTGTATTCTCAAAAGAAAGAAGCTGCATTAATACTGTAACTGGTTTTAAATTCTTTGTATGCATCCAAATACTTCTATATTTCCCAAAGCATCTTTCACAAGGTACTAATGAGCAACTGATTGAACAGAATAGGATCCATTAATTAAATGCAAAGGAGACAAAAGACAATTACACAGTAAGGCTGATAAAAATAGAAAAATGATTAATCTAGTTCAGGACAAATTAACAAATCTAGAATGACTGCTGAAATTACTAATAATCATCTCCAACCCTAAATCAGTTACTGAACTGTAATTTGTTCTTCATAATAATTTCTTTTCAAAGATATACCTGCTGTAAAATACTTCTCCCTCATGCCAAGTAACACGTGTGACTTGGTGTGTCATTATCTCACTGAGATAATTTTCCCTTTTCTTCCTATTTTCAGAGAGATTTTTCAGACTAAGGTCAGTACACTGTAGTTCAAAACCCAAATGTTGAAATCTCACCTTGCCAAGCGTATTTCTTCCCATTTAAATCAATAGCAAAATCTTCAGGGTAGAAGTCTATTATGCTTGATTCCTGTGTTTGAGAAAGTACATTAAAAAGTCACTGCTCTCCAGTTGAGCCTCGCAAGGGTTCTGTAAGGAGGTAAACAATCCTACTGAAGTGTGAGAGAGTCAGGAGATAATTTTTCTCCCTGAAACATCTGAATTCAAAGAATAACTTCTAAGAATGCCAAAAAAGTTCCCTCCCAGTCTCCATTCTTCTTCTGCCCGAGGTGGGAAGCAGCAAGTCATGCTCACACAACTGCAAGATGCCATCAGCTTCCTGAGAGGGACCCCCCAGGGACTCTTACCGGGTCTGTCATCAGCTTCCTCCACGTGGGCGGCAGAAAGTTCCCACTCGCTGCTGGAAACACTCCCATAAGCTGCTCAAGAGGCTTAAACTGTTGAAATCAAACAGGCAGATGTAGGAGGCTTCTAATGAGTTGTTAAATGACAGATTTATAAATAAAGGAGAGAAGCCCTACCGGCCTGGAGCCCTTCTCAAAGTCTGAAGGCATGTCTGCAATGCCCTCGAAGTCAGAAGCGAAGGGAGCGTAGTGGAAGGGGTAGTACCAGTTCCAGGAGGCACAGCCCTAGGACAGAGCAACAAAACCAGATCAATTAGGAAAACAAACGAAGGCCAGTCACTAAAGATGACAATGTTCAGCCCAGCATCACGAAGAGAAGTCCCCATGACCAGACAAGGAAGAGCTCTTGCCTCTGAAGGTACACCGAGCTTCAGCGTGGGACTGGGCTTTCCCCAGGCAGCCTAGAGCAAGTGATTCACAGGGCAGTGGGTGGAGACCATGGGCACCTCCTTGGCAGCACCCAGCTCCTCTGCCAGAGGACCTCTGCTCTGTGCTAGGTCTGAGTCACCACGGGAGGCAGCCAGACAGGACACCTAGCACCAGAACCACATGGATGACCGTACAGCAGAATCCTAGTCCCAGCTTCAAGACACTAATGTACCTCATGCCTTCTTCCTCACCCTCAAGAAAAACCCCTCATGAGCATGCACACAAACTCCAGTAAAACCAAGCACAAAAATTTCTTGCAAAGAGTAGAAAATCAGTCCATCCATGCAGTTAAGCAGACCCTGCCACTACACTGAGGAGCTTGTAACAACAGGACACATTCTCAAAATTCTCCACTTCTGTAGAGCTGCTACCACATCTTGAACAGGCAAATGCAGAGAAGGAATTTCCAAGCTCTCTGTGACTGCATAAAGGCCAGAGCTATGCCAGTCAGAAAGCCATTACCAAGGTCTCCACATGAACAGAACTAGTACTTTGGGGGCAGCACACAGTTTTCACCACTTCACCACTGTATGTCCATGGAAAACCCCACCTCTAACTTGGGGACCTGGGCAACTGGAGAACCCTGATATGACACACGCTACAAGGTGTGAAAATGGGAACACTATTTGTTGCAGGTTGAGAATAATTCTGGTTTTACCTGTTACTTTCTCATTCAGCACTAGCACTAATACACACTGAGTAACATTTTGCTTTTCCCCTCTTATTCTTCTGTCTTGAATGCTGGGAAATATAAAGTGCATTCACTTGAAAGAGGCAAAATAACCCTTCAACAGGAGAAAAAGTAAACTCAAACCACATCAGAACACAATGCACTTTGTAAAGGAAAACGTGGCTCTACAAGGGCTAAGTCAAGTTTTCACCTTCTCAGCTATTTTTCTTAGCAGTACTACTTGAATCAAAAGCTTACTATTTTGACTTGAATTCTGAATAAGTAAATGTCAATGAGGCTCCTCCAGTGGTGTTTTCAGTATAAAATTAGAGACTATAATTATTAGATGCAATTCTTCAGATGGTTTCAGTATGTTTCAAAATCCAGGTGGATTGGGTTCTTTCTTATCTTTGTAATGGTTTGTTTTTCCCTCTCCAAACAGATGTCCCCACTAGTGGAGCATGCTCTGCATTATTAGCTTCTTGTAAGAATAGAAAAGCACGGAACGTATTCTGCCGAATTTTATGGGCAGTGAGCAACAGCTATTGAAGGCAATTCTTACTATGGTAAAAAGGAAAGAAAAACCACCAAACAAACCAACCCACAAACAAAACCCCCTCATGCAAATCTATTTTGAGATTCCCCCAGCCCAAGAGCTTCCCCATCTGAATCCCAGAGGGGCAGAGAGCTTTGCTGCTCCCCATGCACACAGAATGCCCACGCACTGCAGGCTGCAGCATCTCACCCACCCCTGGTTCTGTTCCACATGTACAGACAGCAGCATGTGCAAGTCTTTCTCTGCTGTGCTGGGTGAAGTCCACTATGTCATTCTGATAAGGTCTCTAGAGAGGCTTGCCTTCTTTCTGAGTAGTATGAAGCCAAAGGTAAAGCCCTCAGCATGGGTGTACTTTCATCAAGTCTTGCTTTGGAACAGTTCCAAACCAGAAAACGTTTTCCTTACAGTTGTTTTCCTTGAGGTATTATTGGCACTTCTCCTCAGTTTTCCTGAGAGCACTATGGTCCTGCCTCAAGCTGTTGTCAAGCTCACCCATCTATTTTCTGTGCAGCTGTAATCATCTATCACTCCTGCATGCACCAGTGACTTCTGCCAGCAAGCTGACAGACTCAGGAGGACAAGGAGTCACCCACATCCTTCTCAACAACTGAACTGGTTTTACCAACTACAGTTGTGGGGACTTGGCTGGGTGCTTTTCAGTTTGGTACATGCCAGTTTTCCTAAACATTTAAAGCCACAAACCTCTCAACAGCACACAGGCTGATGCAGCCCTGGCTCAGCCACCCAGAAAAGCACGTGGTGAGGTCTGCATGAGCTCACAGCCACTGAGCACACAGCAGTGAGCACACACTCCACGCATGCTTCTTTGAGTACAAACTTCATTTTACAGCCCCCAAGTGAGTATAAATATTTTGGTTGCCTCATAAATATTATCTCAGTTTTGCCATATGCTGCCTTCCTGCACACCCTTCAGTTTCCCCCAAAATCCAGGTGGATTTCTGCAGAGGTTTTGTACCACAGCAGCCCTGAAGGTCATGCAGACAGCTTCCAGCAAGGAGACACCTACAGCTAACCTGAAGGTTCATTTACACACTTTGGAGACAAAGTTCTAGGAATATACCTTGCCATGCTTAACAGGAACTTGGTCAGCTTTCAGCACACCTTAACTGTGAGCAGGACCATGGAAATTTCCACCTATAAAGATGTGCAGGTGCCATTTGTCCTTCACAAAAGGAACTACTCAAGGAAGTGCAGAGCTCAGATCAACTGCAAGAGACTTGCAAACCTTGAACTCATTGATTTTCATCCACCATAACATGCAAGTTGGAGCCCCAGCTCAAATTTAATACAATGGAAGGGAACACACTCCCTTCCTGTTCCAAGGGGGAGACAACCAACAAAGGAGCACACATTAACATAAACCAGCTTCCAGACCGCACAGTCTTCTTGTGGGCATGTGAGGTCTTGGCCCTGCCTGAGCTCTGAGCTGCACAGGTATGAGGCACCTATGGAAAACAGGCACTTTTATCAACACTGCACTGTGCTCAAGCTACACAGCCCCACTGAGACTGATCAGCTCCATCAGCTCGAGCACATTCTGCTCCCAGGTCACACATGAAATAGAACTTATTCTGTCTTCAGGGCACGAAGCTAGTTATTAACCACCAGTGCAAAAAGCCCCAACATCTAACTAATCTCTTGCCAATCTGACATCTCAATTATCAAAAGATTTAAATCAGACACAGATTACTTCAAACACAACACACTCCATAGAACATCGTTACAATCTACGGAGGAGACTGACAACTCTGTTCCTTTCAAATTCTTCCTGGCATCTCTCAGGCTTTGTCCTTTGTTCACTCATTCAGTCATCTGCAGTTTCACTCTGTGTGGCTATGCATTGCAAAGGGAAAACACACATTGGCCTGTAATAAACTAACAAGTGCTGTTTCTGTATGTGAGAAACAAAAACTTCATTCAAGTCATGAGTGTCAAACAGAACAGGCAGCCAATTCCATCTTCCAAAACACCCCACTGCTCCTCAAAATGAGCAATGGGTAACCATTATTTCCTGAAAAGGAATAGGGCACAGACAAAAGAAACCAGATGTTTCAGAGAAGAGAATTCTAAGTACCTGATAATAGTATCTGAGGACCCAGCAAAGCCCTTCCACGTAGGACTGCACAACTTTACGACGGAATTTCTCATCAGAGGCATCAACATCAAATTTGTTTTTGTAGTAGCGCTGTTTCCAGCCCGTCTCCCACAGCCTGCACAAAACCCACAGACAGACACGTTAGTACATATGCACATTTACCTCCCTGAGATAAAACACAAGCCAAAGTCACCTGCTGCTTCAGTTCCCATCTTTACACAACTGAAATGAGAGCCTAAGAAGCGGCAGCCGGCAGGAAGGAGAGCAGAGGTGGTGGCTGGCACCACAGCCAGCCCAGGTGAGTCTCTAAGCTGCCGTGCTGATGACCATGTCCTCACAGACCTGGTTAGCAGCAGGGCAGATTCTCAAACACGTGCCTGCTGCCATCAGGGCTTTTCAGAATTGTATTGCTCCTAGCAGCAGTTTCACCTTTCTGACCAGGAACCTACTACCCAAACTGTCACCTGAACTTTCCTCTTTAACTCTTCCAACCACTAGAAAGAGAATAAACTCTTCCCCTTGCTTATTTTTTTTAACCTACCCTAGGCCAAAATCTTTTTCTTACTGCAATATCTTCTCACATCAAGCTCATTCCTCTGTTCTTATTGCCCCTCTCAAGTGAAGAAGTGATATAGCTCCCCTGCTACTTGAAATAAGTAACTAAACAAACAGTAAGCAGCAGCAGCTTGATTTCTGTACTCTACTTCTGTTTAGGCAAGTTATGGTTACCAGCAGAATTATCTGTGACTCAGGAATCCTGTGCTTGCTGACTCACACCAGACGGGTTCCCTTTTACAGAGACATTTTCAATCTTTCATGAGATATAGATACTGAAAGCAAAAAAAGCAATCTCAGACACCATTTGTCATCACTTCACACAGCTCCCCCTTATGTCTGTCTGCAGATGGGGCAGGGCAAAACCCACCACTTACTCCTCTTTGGATCCCACAGCTCTACTGTATGACATGAGGAAAAAAGTGAATAATGTGCTGTACTATGCCACATTTCAGGCACAAATAATGATGATGATATGCTTCAGAACTGGCCCCCCTCACAAAACTCTTCCGTTTGGTTTTTGGGTTTGTTTTGTTGGTTTGTTTGTTTATTTTTTAATTTAAACCTATTATTCCCCATTGCACACGTGTTTTACACACATGCATCTCAAAGTTCACGTGGTTTTTGGTATTCAGCTGAACTAAGGGAAACTACAAATATGATGTAGATACTGCTTAAATCAAATAGTCCCTTAATACTGATTTTTTTCTTGAAATAGAATTTTGTTCTCAACAATTCAAGACTTGTCATTGATTATCACACCAGGTGAGTTCCCCTGCCACAAAGGCTGGGGCCACTTTAAAACACACACAGAATCTGAAGCACACAAGTAACCTGCAAGGTGAACTCACACTTGCCCACGAAACACCCTCCTGGTTTTGCAGAAAGGATCTTCCCTTGCTTCTCTTCTAAGTCAGCTGCCAGTACAGGGACACTTAAAAATCTGACCTGAGGTGATTCAAACTGCTGAGGAGGTGGAGAAACCAAGGTGTTCTCAGGAGCTTCAGGAAGGCAGGTGAGCAAGGGCAGAGCTACTTGTGCTGAAGTCTTGAAGGACAGAGTCAGAACATCTGCAGTCCACGAGCAGCTGACCTGAGGAACTCCCTGGCAGCTACACCCTTGCATAAATCAAAACCCCTTTTCCATAAGATAACACAACCCAGTCTGCTAGCTGCCTAAAACTACTTGTTCTGGTTTTAAAGTCATTCTAAGTACAAAATACATTTTCACAAACAACTGTTGCATCTAGTACGTTTATGCAGTTGTTTTTGCTCACAATGAGAAGGATGAATTTTCCACTCAGAAAAGCACATAAATATTCTGAGCTACAAAAGAGCTCCAGTGACTGCAGATGAATACAACATGTCCTCTTGCTTGACAATACCAACCTTGTCAAAACTACTGCTACTCCTAAATGGCCATGGTTCATTCACACTAGCTGCTGCAAAACACCTAGAGCTTCCTTTGGAACCTCTGCTAAAATTCAAATGCAAAGCAGCGTCAAAATTTATCCTGATTTTAGATAAAAATTCTGTTTGCTTGCAAAAAAAGTTCCATTCAGATCTGCACAGGCAGGAAAGAGAATAAGACTGGGAGCTAGAATCCCTGATACTGGAAGAGCTGATGTCACAAACGTCAACAACAGTGCAGGACAATTATGATCAGCATTTCCCAACAAAGTAACCCTTATTGTTTTCCTGTGTCCGCCTACGTCTCCTGATTCCACACAAAACAAGAACCTACTGATTGCATTTATTAGGGCAGAACCTTTAACAAAAAATTAGAAGGGCCTTCCCTCCTGACTTACATAGGTAGATTTAAACCTTTGATAAACACAGCCTCACTGGGAATTCAGTGTCAGTTAATTCCCATAAAATTCCTACCCCTTAACGACCTAGGGAGCAGCCATCCTAGGACCCTGCAAGAACTCTTCCTAGAGCACACAGGGCCTGCTGCAAGTCAAAGAAGGGGGAACACACCGTGACAGTTGGGGTACATAGTGCTGCACACCTGAGTGCAGCCTCATTGTGGGGGTTAAACAGCGCCAGGATGCAACGGCAGAGCAGCAGCATTCAGCTCACACTCAGAGCTGAGCAGCACGTCTGGCCAATCTAGCTCTCGGTCTCAGAGGGAGCAGTGGCTTGGAGGATGAAAACCTGCACGCATACTAATCTAGACACTTAGATTTAACAGCTATAGCTTACCCATCTCACTGGAATTTACTGAATATTCTAACCCTCCACATTAATTACCGCTGGATAAAAAGATCATAGAAAAGCATCTGAAGGTATTGCTGCTCTAAGCTAAATGGCATTAATTAGACTGCATCCATTTCAGCAATTTGCTAACAAAGTGCTACAAAAAAAAAAATGGCTTCACCTGATATTATCCTCTGGCTCAGGTTCACTGTCACTGTCCTCAGCTTTTCGCTTAATTCCGCCTGCCGGGGAGGGGCTGCTGTCGGAATTGAGGCTGGTGTTTGGAGATGATGAAGTTGTCTAGGGTCAGAATTATTACAGATAAACAGGAAAGGGGGGGAAGGGTTTATTAGGCATTTTAAATTCAAGTTAACATTATCAGCTTTGTGATAATCACATGCATTATTTCTAGTTCCCCAAACTCCAGGCAAAACCTACACAATCCTTCAACTATTCAGTCAGGTAGCAAAATAACACATCTTTGTATTAAAAGTTGGGCACTGACACGTGCAGGCAGTGTTCATGTGTTTGAGAAAGAAAACACTGCAATAAACAAGACAGTATAAATTGATAAAACATGCTATTTTTGATCTGTTCCCATTCTGGAATACAAGTGTTTTCTCCAGTCATACAGCTCACATTACATCTTGATTTTACAGCAGCAGTGAAAATTCCACATGCAGGCTACAAAGAGCTGCTTATAATTCAGAATGAGCAGAAATACCCAAAGTTGCTTCAAAACTGATCTTTGAAACTCCTTTTAAATGCACCTATTTTGATATTAGAGTCTAAAAGAAACTTCTCCCATTCCATAAAGGAATTGATTTGATTAACTCACACGAAAAATTTTCAAGATTACAAGGAAGGAACAGCAGAAGAAAAAGCATATTGTATTTATTTGGACTTAAGAGAGAGAACACACATCTTTGTGATGAAAAGGATCTTTAATTTGTTTCGTTTGGATGAAGATTTTTGCCCAGAAAGAATTTGTCATAATTGTTATTTAAAGTCAACAATCAAGACTTCTGACACAGCACTTGGCCTATTTCCAGTTTTCCCTCACTTTCTCATACCTTTCCAAAAACTTAATCCAAGTTTCTCCTCTTCCCAGGGAAAAGCAATGCTTTGGAAAGTGAAAGCAGGCTGACAAACACGTCAGTAAATCCCAAATTTCCAAAATACTTATGTCCATGTCTGTGTGTTCATACAAATTCCAGCAAGAATATTAAAGGACCTTCAGCTCAGGTATTCAGTCTGCATCTCTCACAAACCTACTGAGGAAGTCCCTAAACCTGTACTCACAAGGAGCTTTGACCCCACAAGTGCCAAACCCATCTGGGGAGAAGAACCATCGTACCTGACTCGGGTGCATTCACCCCACACTTGCCCTCCCACAACTATTTAACAAGCAGCACCATACCAAACATGAAAATAAAGAACACAGTTTTACCTGAGCAGCCTTACAAAAATTCGTTTTGGAAAGCCATTTCCTTGAAAAATAAGTTTTTTGGTGCCTGCTCTTCCAGAGAGCTTGACAGGGTAGAGCAAAAGGTGCCCGAGTAGCACAGGGTGTGGTTCCCTCCCCCTCTGTGTGTAAATACTGCTGAACATCCACTCACCGAGCTCTGTCTGTCATGCATTCTCATCTCAAAGGCAGCTTGTCTGGGGTTACTGATTGCCTGAGGACTAGATCGATTTCCCAGAGCTTGAGGGGAAAACTGTCCACCGGGGATAAAAGAAGGCTGATCCCTCTGGAAGATAAATGCAGAGAGCACGCTGAAGAAGCTGTGTAATCTCCACAGAGCTGGATGATGCACTCTCACAATTTTCAGATTACGGTCATATAAAACAAGCACCATTTACTCACTCAGTTCACCTTAAATTAGTTACATTTAACAAACTCAACTGGACATAACGACACAAGTGAGACTCTTCTGTTTCTATAATGAAGCTCTTTTAAAACCAACCAACCCACCCAGCCTGTATTCTGTGCCTGTGTTCATTCTCCTTGGAGTGAAAGGTGATTTTTTTGGGAAATGAGACCTCTACCTTACAAGGAAGAATGGATTCTTTGTAAGCACAGTGAATAACCCCTTCCACTCTACTTGGGACAGTCAGAAAACACCTCTACAGACACACAGAAAAAGCTGCAGTCTACAAGAAGTCAGGAAAAAAACCTTTAAAATCATTCACACCCAGGCCAGAAAATCCCACAATTACAACTGCAGTTCCACCCAACCCATCTGCTGAGAGCTCTGGCACACATTTTCATTCTTGATACTTTTTGCATTGGGAAAGGAATTAATTACCTTCATCCTTTTTCTTTTTTCTTTTTGCCGCCTTTTAAAGTTATCCTAAACAGAGAATACAGGGAAATCAAGTTAACCAACCACGCTGACTTCTTGGAAAAACATTGAATCATAATCCTCTACTGCACAGAAGGCTGTAAGGTTTTTGTTCTGAATAAGACACAGGTCAACTCTTGTGCCTGCAAGTCCAATGGAAAAGGGATAGAACTTTCTACCTTGAAAACCTAAAGGGGAAAAAAGTATCTGTGTATTCAAAGCTCCACGACTTCAGTAATGGCTTCTAAGTCTAGTTAGAGCCTTACTTCAAGGTGACAGCAGTGTCAAAGGACACAAGCTCCTTGCCTGCACTGGAACAACTGCCAAAAAACCAATACAATAAGAAAAAGCAGGAGACGTTAAAAGTCCTAGAAACAGGAAAAGAAGAGGCTCAAGGAAAGATATTTCCTACTCGTGGGCCATGGAAACTGGTAACTTGAATATCTGTGTGTTCAAAGCTCCACGACTTCAGTAATTGCTCCTTAGTTAGAGCCTTACTTCAAGGTGACAGCAGTGTCAAAGGACACAAGCTCCTTGCCTGCACTGGAACAACTGCCAAAAAACCAATACAATAAGAAAATGCAGGAGACGTTAAAAGTCCTAGAAACAGGAAAAGAAGAGGCTCAAGGAAAGATATTTCCTACTCGTGGGCCATGGAAACTGGTAACTTGAACACCATTTGCCCTTCATGAGAAGGGCTGCAGGCTGTGGCAATCATAAACAGAACATTTTGCCAGCACTGGCACAGTAGTTTTTGACTGTAAGTAAATACAGCTCTGCTTTCATTCACAAGGTGTTTTATGCCCTCTACTTAGTGAATAAACTGGAATATGTCTGCAAAAAATACTGCAGAAAGATCAAAAGAACAATTTACAGACATTTCAAATGGCAGGAGGTACTGCAAGGCAAGAATGCCCTTGAAATTCAGATGCTGTATTTCACCCCTGCTCATGGCTTGCACTTCCACAGGTTGCAGCAAATTACCAAACAATTCCTCCTTCAGTTTTCACAGCAGCTACTCAGAAAAGCTGCAGGCAGCAGCAGAACTCACATGCAGTTTTCACTTTGCAGCTACTTGGGATAACAACAGGAAAACAGGCCTTGTAGTTCAAGAAAAGAAAATCAACTCAAACCACAGAATTCTTTTTTTGAGTATTGAGAGATTCTAACAAAAAACCCAAACCAAACAATAAAGTTTGGGGTTTATTCTATTAGAGTGTCACAGTCTAACAGTAACACACGTGATTAACATAAAACTCCAAGAATGCAACAAGAACAAAAAAATTACATCATCATCTTTTCTCTTTTTGAAAATACTGTCTTCAACCTCTCCCACAGCTAACATGATCATCTGGACCCGCTGCAGGTTGACAAAACCACTTTCTGTGAGGTAACCCTGCAAATGAGAAAATAACAGCTGAAAAACAAGCCTATTTTTGGAGCAAACACACAGAGTTTCTTTTAAAAAGGCAAAAAAGTTTACCCCGGTTTTGTGCACCACGTTTTTGTATATGTTAACCAAGCGATCAATTGCTCCCTCCCTACAAGCAAACAGAAAACAAAAGCATGAGGTTCTTATCAACTCAAAACTGCAACAGGTTCACTGGCTGGCAGGAGAAGAAAACATCTATTCTTAACTACCTGATCTCCAAAGATGGCAAATGAGGAAGAAAGTCATTTCCCACAAAGAAGCACATGAAGACCCAGTCGTCAACACTTCTTTCAAAATCAAAAGTGAAGGGCAAACTGGCCATAGTGAGTTCTCTCTCCAAATACTGCAACACACCCCGAAAGAAAAGAGAACTTTAGAACATCCTCTGGATGGAGTTTAAAAACGTTCCTGCATAAAGCAGGCAGAGTAACTGCTCCAACGTACCTCTCGCAGAACACATAATCGGATGAAGATAAACTCCTGCTCAGCAACAGGGAGACTGTCTGCAAACTGGTCATGCTAAAAGGAAAGGAGAGAGCTGCATGACAAACCAGCTCACCTTGAAGCTTCTCCAGCCCAAAGGCTCACTCTGAGAGGAGCTAACAAGTGTACAGGAGCAGTTCCTCCAGCTCTTATGCCAAGCAAGCACTTGGCTGCTCTGGGTGTCACAAGTTAGTGATTGTTTTCTCCCACCAGTGGAAAAAAACCAACAACAAAACACCACAAGTGAGGAGGTAATGTTTGGCATAATATTTTTGTGCTACAAGTACAATATTTACTGATTAATATAAAAGGAAAGCTAGGTAATTCCAGTGATGTAATTTGCATTAAGTTTCAGCCAAAATCAACAGCCAGAATAACTTGAGGATCTCATGAAAACACAAAGTAGCTCACAGATGAAAAGAATTTCTAGAAAGAGCAAAATACTTACCTTGCCTTGTTTCTCCCTGGGCAAACCCTGGCAATCCTTAACCTCGTGTCCCATCTGGTTACAAAGAGCACAGGGCTTGGGCTTATTTGGTTTAAACTCTTCCCTAATTATGGTGAAGTTGGGTTCATGTGTGGCTAACCCAAGCATAATCAGATCAGCTACCAATCAAAAGAGAAGAATAAAATACAGTGAAGGATAAACATGAGTTAGCCTTTTTTTCTTCTTAAAAAAAACAACTTTAAAGCAAAGAACATTCTACCTTAAGCAAGCTGGAGCACACAGATGTGCTCACCCACAAACTGCCCCAGAGAGTAACACAAAGTGAGGGTCAGACCTTCAGCTACAAACAGCATGAGATCTTCCCCATCTACTGAGCTTTCAAAAACTAACACATACACTGGGTTATTTACACAAACAAAAGCCTAAAGCTACAGCCCAGCTCCATCACCAAACTGCACACAGGGACACATTGCTAGCAAAAGAGAACTCACCATCAGCCCCACACAGACAGTGATGAGTGTTTGGGTCATGGTTTGGTTGAGCTGTACAAAAGAAAATTACATTCAGTCAGCCAAAGTCATGTAAAATAAATTATTACTGACTGCACCTTCATTTAAAACAAGGTGTTCACATTTATTTGAAGTTTACCTCTTTGTCTTCTAATGTAATCCATGATTTTATGTTCACCTTCACCAGGAGCACTAGCATCAGATAAAATAACCTGTGAAGCATTTACAGAACTTAGACAATTTATGCCACCACAGCAAAAAAGAAATAAAACCCCCACAACTTATGTAGTTCCCCTACTGAATATTGAATCTGATTTATGAATAATTGAAATTTGCAGTTTTAACTAAAATACCATAAATAAATAACTAAATAAGTTCAAAATGAACTTATCTGAAGGTTTGGAACCAATTAATAGACCTTCATTTGTCTCTTCCAGTTCCAGGATTAAGTTGACATTGATTAAAATACCATTTAAATCATTACTGTCATTAACAGATTGGAAGTTTCCTGATAAATTATCAGGGCAATCGAAATGCACACTGGAGACCTAGCAGGCAGAGCAGACACATGCCTGCTTCCCTCTGGATCTCCTAAACATCACACACCTCCTCACAGTGATGCCCAGACAAGCATTAGGGTTTATAAACCCCCTGTCTGATGGAGGGAGTTAAACAGAGTCAACTGCCCCCTAATTAGACCACGTTAGCAGTCAGCTTATGGAGAATACAACAGCCAGCTGCATCTGAGAGGATGGACTGTTCTGCCCTCTTGTACAGAGCAAACAGGGGGCTGGCAGAAGCAAAACTCTGCCAAGTGGAGTGGCTGAGGAACAGGAGGACAGCACTGCAAAGCCCTGAAAGGCAAGAGAGCTGATATCTGTTATTTTCATTGCCTGTCATCTCTTGTCATCCAGCATTAGAAAAATGAGGACAATGCAGCCTGAGGTAGAAAACAAGTTTAAAGAAGAAAGAGCAAAAAGGGTACATATACAGTGTAACTTGAGACTTTTCCCCAAAAGAAAAAAATCCAACAGTATCCCTAAAATCCTCTCTCCCATTATATCAAAGTGTGGCTTCTACTATCAAATCTTTTCCTTGCTCTTAAAGGAAATCAAAACAAATGGTGCTGTTAGATGGTGTTATCAGGATGAAATATCTGTCATCCAAGATTAGAAAAATGAGGACAATGCAGCCTATCTGAGGTAGCAAACAAGTTTAAAGAAGAAAGAGCAAAAAGGGTACATATACAGTGTAACTTGAGACTTTTCCCCAAAAGAAAAAAATCCAACAGTATCCCTAAAATCCTCTCTCCCATTATATCAAAGTGTGGCTTCTACTATCAAATCTTTTCCTTGCTCTTAAAGGAAATCAAAACAAATGGTGCTGTTAGATGGTGTTATCAGGATGAAATATCTCTGAAGTCCCAGCAGAATGTGCACATTGGCCCATTATTAATAACAGCACAGTGCCAGGAGATGAGACAAGTCTCCCGAATTTATACTCTTCAGTTGTCTCCCAACCCAGCCTAATAGATCCCCTCCATTTTCCTCCAGTATGACTCTGTGAAACTCACTGTCAAATTCTTCCACCCCGGGTCACTGTTCAAGCGGTCAGCGATGTAGTAGCGCAGACATTTGGCAAGGTTGTCCATAAACTCAGTTCCCTACGAAGGGAATGGAATAAAACAGATTAAACCTTCATCCAGACACTGGCAATTGCAGGTTAAAGTGCAAGATCACTCACTGGGGTGATACAGTTGCTGTCAAATCTCTCCTTCACTTCTTCTGGAGGAAGAATGCCACCTAGAGCAATGACAGCATTTAACAGATTAATGAATATGGAACATTAAA